TACTGCGTGAGGGTGACGAGACCGTGAGCGTGAGGTCTTGTTACAGCTCCCCTTCGAACCAGGTAGTGACGCCGTTGGTCGAGCCGATGTAGAGCAGGTCGTCTACATAGACGATAAGTAGAATGTAGTCGTTGCCCTTTGTGAGTCGGTACATGCCCTGGTCGTGTGGTAGCTGACAGAATCCGATGCGGATGAGTCTAGCGTGCAGGTACTGCTGCCACAGTCTCGGTGCCTGTTTGATGCCGTACAGGGACTTCAGTAGCTGGCAGACTTGGTTAGGTTCTCCGTTTGAGCCGTGTGGTAGTTCGACGAAGATCTCTGCGTCAACAGGTGCGTAGAGAAAGGCATTAGCGACGTCGATTTGCCGCAGTTTCTTCTTCTTCATGGCGGCGATTGCGAGGAGAATTCGGAGTGAAGTGTGTCGGCTGAGCGGGGCGAACGTCTCGGTGAAATCGCGTTCATGCTCTTGGTCGAAGCCACGTACGACCCAACGCGCCTTGAATTCATCAATAGTGCCGTCTGCCTTTGTATTCACATGGAAGACCCATTTACGGGTGAGTATTTTCTTGTTTTGTGCCACGCTGATGGGAACAACTTTCCAAGTGTTGCGTTCCTCCAGTGCTTTCAGCTCCTTGTCCATGGCTTTGCGCCATTTCTCCCTATATTCCCACCCCAGAGCCTGCTGAACTGTGGCAGGCTCCTTAGGAAGCGCTGCGCCGTGAACCGCGGTGACGAGGCCGAGTATTTGAAGACCACTCTATGTGCAGCGGGGGAGTGTTGTGTCCTCGGGATAAGCTGCTTCGTCACCTGCTTCTGGGTCAGGTATGAAGTTGGGCCCTATGCGTTATGCTTTGTTGGTGTTGAGTCTTGCAGGTGTAACGTAACCGTTGTCGGCGAAGTGGTAAAATACTTCGGCGTTGGCGCTTTCGCGAGAATTTTCGTCATCCATTGGGACGTCGACGGAGCAGTAAAAGAGAGGTCCGGCTTCCTCCGAGGCTTCATCCACGTTCTGCTCGTCCCAGTCAGCTTCGTCTGCTGCCGAGGCGAAGGCTCGGTCACCACAGAAGCCACCTGTGGGGTCCCGATCTTCTTCCAGGTTGGCAAGGTACGTCGGAAGGGTGAGTCGTCGTAGAAAATGACATCACGTGCTGCTACTGTTTCCTTTGAATGGACGCAAAAATCTTCCGCGCATTGTAATTTCTTTCGATGCCCAGGTGTAGCCCCCACAATGCGCGTTGGGAGAATCGGCCGGCTCGTGCAGCTGGGGGTCGGTACTGTACCATGCATCCAAAAACTCTTAACATTTTTGTGCTGCCCTGTTTTCCTATCCACAGCAGGTGCGATGATGCGTTGTTCGGGAGCGATGATGACGAGAGCAAGTTGTGCAGCATGACAGCGTAGTCCATTGATTCGGGCCATTGGTGGTTGGGTAGCCGCATGCCTCGTAGCAGCTTGCGCATGGTGTCCTGGAGAGTCCTGTTCATCCTTTCTGCTACGCCTTGCTGTTGGTGAGCGTAGGGAAGGGAGACGAGTCGCTTGATCCCTCTTTCCGCCAAGTACTGCTTGAACCTCTGTGAGGTGTATTCTCCTCCTCCGTCTGACTGGAAGCTCTTTAGTTTTACGCCAGATTCTCGTTCTGCTACTGGGAGCCAGGCGACGAAAGCCTCGAAAGCCATGTATTTGCTCGGAAGATTGAGGTGCCAAACGTAACTTGTGGCGGCATCGATGAATGTGATGGTGTAGCTGTATGTTCCTTGTCCAGGTTCGCGGTTGTACAGGATGTCGCTGTACACTTTCTCGAGTGGTGCGTAAGCTGGTGCGCTAGGGTTGTGGTGAGAAGCGAATGGCCGATGTGGTAAGTCGGATTCGGGGCAGGTAAAGCACGTTCCGCGAGCTCGTCGAAGTTCGCTTCCGTCGGTTAGGAGCAGTGAGTCTTTGTCGAGCACGCCTGCTCTGATTGTGTTGTTCAACACCGTGTTGCTTGGATGTCCCATTCGTGCGTGCCAGATATCTTTGCCAGCTCGATGTCCGGGTGAGCGACGGCACAAGTCGGAGTTGGAGTAGAAGCTTGCGGTGAAGTTTGCGCTTCGATGTACTTCTCGTGGTGTTGGGTTCAGTTGCTGCACAGGAGTCGGTGGAGTGTCTGTGAGAATTAGAACGAGAATGAAGAAGAGGGAAGGAGTTTCACTAGCAGCAGTTGGGATACATATAGCAAACCCTAACAGGGTTGTACTCGCTATACAGCACCCCACTACAGGCTAGATAATTATAACATTCTGACACACTCCCATAGCCAAAGTGGGGTGTAATCAGCACAATGAGCAAGCAGGTATAGAGCAGGAGTTCACAATAGTGAGCAAAGCTAGAGTCATTCACAAAGGGCAAGTGAGGAGGAGGAGGCGAGACTGTAAGAGGAGAGGAGATAGGAGGCGACGGCTGAAGCTGCAGACACACGGGCAACAGGAGTCACACTGGCACAGCGGCTACCGGAACAACGCTCCGGACTACTGGAGTAACTGGCTCCGCGGCTAAGACTAGCGGCAGACGAGCAACGGACCCACGGGCGACTGGCACAGCTGGCTACGACTGGGCTACAGAAGCAACGCCCCGGACTACTGGTGCTGCTGAAGACACGACGACAATCTCCGTTCAACCAACCTCTTCCAGCTGCCCCACACCTCTGGACACACACCCCCTGCTCAAACCCTAGCTCCACTCCCATAGCACCCCCCTTACACCCTAAACCGCAGGCTCACACACATCCACCTCCCTCAAAACCCTAGCTCCACTCCCACAGCACCCCCCTTAAACCCTAAACCCCAGGCTCCCACACATCCACCCCCCTCAGCGACAGCTGCAGCAGTGGGAGACGAAGGAGGAGGAGCAGGGGAGACCACACACCCGTCACCCCCTACTCGCCACCCCCAGACCCTAGCACAGGGCAGGGCGGGACGGCGGGTAGGGAGGTTAGGGGGGGGGGAGGGGGGGGGGGGGGGGGGGCGACGCGCGGTCTCCCAGGGCGCCAAAACAGGCGGCAGAAGGGGCGATGCTCGCCCCCCTCCCCCAGGTCGCGGCCTCCGAAGGAGCCGCGACGGGCGACGGGAAAAGGGGGAGGGGGGGGGGGGGGGGGGGGGGGGGGGGGGGGGGGCGGTGCACGTGCCCCCGGTGCGCCGCGGCTGGCGACGGGGCATGGCCGGGGCGGGGCCGGGGCAGGGTCGAGGAGGGGCCAAAAGGGGCGGCGACGGGGCCGCAAGTGGCGGCGACGGGGCTGCTGGAGGCGGCGACAGGGCCAATAGGGGCGGCGACGGGGCCGCTAGGGTCGGCGACGGGGCCGATGGCGGCGACGGGGCCGCTAGGGTTGGCGACGGGGCCGCTGGAGGCGACGACGGGGCCGCTGGCGGCGGCGACGAGGCCGATAGGAGCGGCGACGGGGCCGCTAGGGTCGGCGACGGGGCCGCTGGCGGCGTCGACGGGGCCGATAGGGGCGGCGACGGGGCCGCGAAGGGGCTGCGAGGGGCCTGGAAGGGCGGCGACGGGCCGCGAAAGGGGCGGCGACGGGGCCGCAAAGGGGCCGCGAGGGGCTTGGAAGGGCGGCAACGGGGCCGCGAAGGGGCCGCGAGGGGCCTGGAAGGGCGGCAACGGGGCCGCTAAGAGTAGCGCGAGGGGCACGCCACGGGGCGTGCCGAACACAGAGTAGCAGCGGAAGCAGTTGAGTGGGCCCACAGGCCAGGACCGTAGATGCTCTGATACCATGTGAGAATTAGAACGAGAATGAAGAAGAGGGAAGGAGTTTCACTAGCAGCAGTTAAGATACATATAGCAAACCCTAACAGGGTTGTACTCGCTATAGAGCACCCCACTACGGGCTAGATAATTATAACATTCTGACAGTGTCGTTGTCGATTGGGGCCAGTATAATTGAAGGTGTCAAACTTATATCATATAGCTTGTCTAGGCTATAGTGGGGTAGACACTATGGGGTACAGTTTCCTAGGGTTTCCTACTTGTACGCAACCTTGTGCTAGTTCATTCATTCCTCATTTCTTCACATGGTATAGAGCAGGTTCCCTAGTGGGAACTCTTCCTTGGGCCCACCACTGATTTTTTTTTTTTCTGATCGGAGCGTCACTCGCTCCTGCCCGAGGCGCACCTTGTTCACCGCCCTTCCAGGCCCCTCGCGGCCCCTAGCGGCCTCATCGCCGCCCCTACGCGGCCCCGTCGCCGCCCCTAGCGGCCCCGTCGCCACCCCTAGCGGCCCCGTCGCCGCCTCTCTCCCTACGCGGCCCCGTCGCCGCCCCTACGCGGCCCCGTCGCCGCCCCTAGCGGCCCCGTCGCCGCCTCTCTACCTACGCGGCCCCGTCGCCACCCCTACGCGGCCCTGTCGCCGCCCCTAGCGGCCCCGTCGCCGCCCCTAGCGGCCCCGTCGCCGCTCCCCTTCCTACGTGGCCCCGTCGCCGCCACTACGCGGCCCCGTCGCCGCCCCTACGCGGCCCCGTCGCCGCCCCTAGCGGCCCCGTCGCCGCTCCCCTCCCTACGCGGCCCCGTCGCCGCCACTGCGCGGCTTCGTCGCCGCCCCTACGCGGCTCCGTCGCTGCCCCTACGCGGCCCCGTAGCCGCCCCTAGCGGCCCCGTCGCCGCTCCCTTCCCTACGCGACCCATCGCCGCCCCTAGCGGCCCCGTCGCCGCTCCCCTCCCTACGCGGACCCGTCGCCGTCCCTAGCGGCCCCATCCCCGCCTGTACCGAGCCGCCCAGCAGCTGAGCCGCCCCACAGCCGAGCCGCCGAGCCGCCCAACAACCGAGCCGCCGAGCCGCCCAGCAACCGAGCCGCCAAGCCGCTCGACAGCCGAGCCGCCAAGCCGCCCAGCAGCCGAGCCGCCGAGCCGCCCAGCAGCCGAGCCACCAAGCCGCCCTGCCGTTGAGCCGCTACTGTTCCTACCGACACGCCCCGGCACTACTTACTCGGACTGGTGAGATCACTCCCTGCTAGGCCACTACAGTCATGGCTACCCCCAGTGTCCTTTCCTTTGATGCTGAGGGTCGTGATGTTGACTTTGAGGTCTGGGTCGATGACCTCCAGCTGTTCCTACAGTGCGATAGGGCAAACGGACTCTCCCTGTTCGATCTCACCTCTGGTGCCTCTCCTGCCCCGCCTACTACTGGAGACAGCACTGTTCGCTACCAGTGGGCCACACGCGATGCTGCTGCCCGTCTTGCTGTGCGTCGCCACTTACAGACCACTGAGCGTGCGCACTTTACCCAGTACAAGAGTGCTAAGACCTTGTACGACGCTGTAGTTGCACGCTACTCTTCCCCTGCCACTGTTGCGCTGAGCCGCCTCATGCTACCGTACCTCTTCCCTGACCTTGCTGCCTTTCCCACAGTCGCTTACCTCATTACGCACCTCCGCACTAGTGACATTTGGTACCGCGCTGCGCTTCCTGCTGAGTTCTGTGCCAAGAACCCGCCCCCCATGTACATCACCCTCTACTACATAGTCACCCGGCTCCCTGACTCCCTTCGCTTAGTCAGGGACCACTTCCTCTCAGTTTGCCCTACCACACTCACCGTTGACCTCCTCGAGGAGCGCCTCCTAGCAGCAGAGAAGAGCATAGTCGCTGTAGGAGCCTCTCGTGGTGACCCTCGCACCCCCGTCTTTGAGGGGTGTTCCCCTTCCCCCCTCTTGCCCTCTGTTGCTTCTGCTGCTGCGGCCGACCTCGTTGGTTTCGAGTCGGTCGGCGCTGCGTCTACCCCTAGCGGGAGACGCCGCACCGGCAAGGGCAAGGGGGGCAAGGGCGATGGAGGGGCTGGCGGGGGCGGTGGAGGTGGTGGTGGAGGCAATGGAGGGGGTGGGGGTGGTGGTGGGAGTGGTGGCGGGGGTGGAGGTGTCGGTGGCAGCAGTGGAGGCGGAGGAGGCGGCGGCGGTGGCGGAGGGAGCGGAGGCGGCGGAGGTGGCGGAGGCGGTGGAGGTGGCGGAGGCGGCGGCGACAGCAGTGGAGCTGGTCGCGGCTCTACGCAGAGGAGTGGGGCCGGTGGTGGTCCCCGCCAACAGCAGCAGCGCAGTCGTGAGACCCTGTCCCCTCAGCAGCTTCGTGAGTGGTACGCTGCGCGTCAGCGCGGTGGGGGTACTGGTCCCTGCACCTACGTCCTCCGTACCGGCGACCGCGCTGGTGAGCAGTGCGGGGGCTCACACTCCACCCAGCGCTGCTTCGGCCGCCTGACGGACGCGTGGCGTCACCAGTTCCCTGACGCCACTGAGATCCCTCGCTGGGGAGAGCTATTTAGGGCCGGGGTTGGTATCTTTGATCTTGATTATGATGCTATTCCTGCTGCCATGTATGTTGTGTCTGATAGTGTTGAGGGTGACTATTACCTGTGTGTTCCGCCTGACCCGAGCATTGAGGCTGCTGCTCTAGGTGCTAGTGAGGCTGCTGCTCTAGGTGCTAGTGCGTCTGCTGCCCCAGGTGCTGGTGAGTCTGCTCTCTCAGGTACTACATCGGCTCATGCCTTACACACCTTCACCCTTGACTCGGGTGCTTCCCGCTCCTTCTTTCGAGACCGCACCACGCTTACGCCACTTAGTCGGCCGGTTGCAGTCTCCCTGGCGAACCCCTCTAGGGGTCCTGTCCTTGCTAGCTTCTCCACTGTCTTAACGTGCCCGGCAGCCCCCTCTGGCACCCTGTTAGGTCTCTACCTCCCCTCGTTCTCTACAAACTTCGTGAGTGGAGCTAATCTACAAGATAGGGGGGTTGACCAGTTCACTCCTGCGAGTCAGCGGGTGACCCACTGCACATGTGCTCGACAGGGCGACACTAGGCCACGTTCACCCATCGGCCGGGTCGAGCCTGTACACACTTACTACTGAGTCTCCTCCAGCTGCAGAGTCTGGTCAGGTAGCTGCGTCGAGTCAAGTGTTTGCTGCAGCATCCACGTCTGGTCCTGAGTCTGCTTCCTGCTTGTGTCGTCTCCTGTCCCACCAGACTCTCCTTTGGCACCACCGCCTTGGTCACCCTTCCCTGCCTTGTCTCCGAGGCATGGCCTCCCATGTCCTTGTCTCTGGTCTTCCCCGGTCTCTCCCTCCCCTACCTCTGGGGCCTGCCCCTACCTGCGTCCCCTGCATCAAGGGGCGACAGCGCGCCGCCCCTCACTCCTCCGAGTTTCCTCCGACAGAGGCTCCGCTGCAGACTCTTCAAATGGACGTGTGGGGCCCCGCCCGCGTCCGTGGCCAGGGGCACGAGCGTTACTTCCTGTTGGTGGTTGACGACTACTCGCGTTACACCACAGTCTTCCCCTTGCGCAGCAAGGGTGACGTCACTGAGGTGTTGATCGACTGGATCCGCGCAGCTCGTCTCCAGCTCAGAGAGAGTTTCGGCTCAGACTTTCCTGTTCTGCGTCTACACTCTGTCTGCAGACAAGCTGTCCCCCCGTGCTGTTCCTTGCGTCTTCCGTGGCTTCCCCCCTGACGCGCCTAGGTGGCAGTTTTACCACCCCACCTCGCGCCGTGTTCTGTCCTCCCAGGACGTCACCTTTGACGAGTCGGTGCCTTACTACCGTGTCTTCCCCTACCGCACTTCGCCCCTCCCCCCGCCGCCGCTCTTCCTTGTGCCAAGTCCTCCCCCGGTAGACCCCCTCCCCCCTCAGGGTCCAGCCCTGCAGGTGTGTCCCAGGTAGATGCAGTCGAGCCTCTCGAGGTAGCTGTTGACTCTGGTGCTGCTAGAGGTGCTGAACCTGCGGGTGCCGGGTCTGGAGGTGCTGAGCCTGAGGGTGCGGAGCCTGGGGGTGCTGAGTCCAGGGGTGCGGAGCCTGGGGGTGCTGAGCCTGGGGGTGCTGAGTCTGGGGGTGCTGAGCCTGGGGGTGCTGAGTCTGGCGGTGCTGAGCCTAGGGGTGCTGAGCCTGGGGGTGCAGAGCGGGGGGGTGCTGGGTCTACTCGTGTGGCCTCTCGCGGTGCTTTGTCGAGGCGGGAGCCACTCTCTCCGCAGGAGCTGCACGAGTGGTTTGCCCGGCGCTAGAGCCGTGCTGCGGGAGCTGGAGGTACTACTGTTGCTGCTGGTCCCAGAGGTACTCAAACTGGTGGTGCTGGAGCTGCTGGGACAAGGGGTGCTGCTGGGGCTGCTAGAGTTGGTCCTACAAGAGGTACTGCTGGAGCTGCTGGCGGTACTAGAGCTGCCGGTCCTGCAGGAGCTGGAGCTGCTGGAGCTGGAGCTGCTGGGGGTGTTGGCGCTAATGGTTCTACTGGCGCTGGTGCGTCTCAGGGTGCTGGAGTTGGTGGTGTTGGAGCTGGAGGTGCTATTGGCGCTGGTGTTGCCGCTGGGAACACTGGTGCTATCCCTGCTGGGTCTGGAGGCGCTACGCGGCCGCAGCCGTACTTCGTTCCGCTCCTTGAGCAGGTTCTTGGTGTCTCGCCCTCTACTGGTCCTGCTCCTCCCTTAGAGTGTCCACAGCCTGTCCAGTCGCTGTCACAGTTACAGCCCGCCTCCCCCCTACCTGCTCCTTCTCCCTACACTGGTCCTACTGGAGGTCTTGCTGAGAGTCGTGAGCCTGTGTCTCATCCTGCGTCGCCTGTTCGTGCTGCTCGCACTAGTCGTGATGCTCCGCGTCCGCGTTTTCCTGCGGTCCCAGGCATACACCAGATGGCACTGTGTCCTTCCACTGCTCCTCTGCGTGTCCCATTGCCGTCTCCTCCAGAGTCCTCTCTTCCTGTTATTGCTGACCCAGAGTCTGACTCTCTCCGTGCTGCCAGTCCTACTGTCACACGTCTCCTGGCCACTGTTGTCACTGACCCTTCCTTTGAGTCCACTTCTGCGTCGGCACTAGTTCTGAGCTTGTCGAATTTGCTGCTCGCTGTCATCTAGACTACGCTGCTAGTCTTGTCGCTGAGTCTGAGTCTGTCTGTCCTCCGTCCGTCGGGGGTGAGTGTGCTCTTAGCACGGACGTCCTTGAGGACAGGCAGGAGGAGTTCCAATGTTTTGCTGCTGCTTTGCCTCATCTCGTGTCCATGCTGATTGCCCCTGAGGGAGACCCGGATGCACCAGATATCCTGACTCCTCGATCGTACGATGAGGCGATTGAGGGTCCCTACTTCTGACAGTGGCAGTCAGCCATGGACGCAGAGATGGCTTCCTGGAAGTCCACAAGCACCTACGTCGACGAGGTTCCCCCACCTGGGGCGAACATCGTCAGTGGCATGTGGATTTTTAGGGTGAAGCGGCCGCCGGGTTCTCCGCCTGTCTTCAAGGCGCGTTACGTGGCTCGAGGCTTCAGTCAGCGGCAGGGAGTTGACTACTTTCAGACCTTCTCTCCCACCCCGAAGATGACCACTCTTCGGGTGCTGCTGCACATAGCCGCTCAGCGCGACTACGAGCTCCACTCTCTTGACTTCAGCACAGCTTTCCTGCAGGGCAGCCTCACAAAGAGATCTGGTTGCGCTGCCCACCTGGCTTCACTGGGTCGTTTCCTCCTGGTACTGAGTGGAGCCTCCGACGTTCAGTCTACTGTCTCTGTCAGGTGCCCCGTGAGTGGCACGACACACTGAGGACTACACTTGCGGCTCTTGGGTTTGCTCCTTCTACAGCCGACCCGTCGCTGTTTCTACGCACCGACACCTCTTTGCCGCCGTTCTACATCCTCGTGTACGTCCACAACTTGGACTTTGCTACTGCTGACACAGCTGGACTCGCCCACGTGGCCCGTACCCAGAGCTTGTTGGCTGCCTCATGTACCTGATGACCTGCACACGACCTGACCTTGCATACCCTCTTAGCATCTTGGCACGCTATTTTGCTCCTGGGAGACACCGACCACAGCACATGGCTGCAGCGAAGAGGGTGTTGCGCTACTTGTGCAGTACGTCGGGCATAGGGCTAGTGCTTGGAGGGCGACGTCGAGTGGTCCTCACAGGTCACGTAGCCGCTTCTTGGGCTGACAACCAGGCTATGCAACGGTCGTCACAGGGTTACACCTTCAGCCTTGGCTCCGACTCTGTTTCATGGCGGTCTACGCGCTCGTCTTTTGTTCTCGGCTCCAGCTGTGAGGCTGAGATCTACGCGGGGGCCATGGCTGCACAGGAGCTATGCTGGCTCACCTACCTGCTGACTGACCTAGGAGAGCCGCCTCGTTCTCCTCCAGTTCTGTACGTAGACAACAAGGCCATGCTGGCCTTGTGTCGGGAGCACAGACTGGAGCACAGAACGAAGCACATTGCTCTCCGCTACTTCCTTGCTCGTGAGCTGCAGCAGCGTGGTCAGCTGCGCCTTGCTTACGTGGCCTCTCAGGCCAACACTGCTGATATCTTTACCAAGGCACTTCTGCCTGGTCAACATCAGCGCTTCTGTACTATGCTAGGTCTTGTGCCTACTTGGCCTCACTTGCTCACTTCTTGACCTTACTTGTACTGTGATCTTTCTATACTTGCACTTGCCTGTTTACGTTTATATATGATCTTGCATGTGAACTGGCCTTGTGGCCTTGCTCTTGTGCTCGGATTGTGTGGTGATGTTGTGATCCACCCTGAGCTTGCTTTGCTTTGCTTGACTGGTCTTGTGACCTCTTGTTCTCCCCCACTTTGCCTATGGGGGTGTGTCAAACTTATATCATATAGCTTGTCTAGGCTATAGTGGGGTAGACACTATGGGGTACAGTTTCCTAGGGTTTCCTACTTGTACCCAACCTTGTGCTAGTTCATTCATTCCTTATTTCTTCACAGACGGACCCGCGATTGGTGCCGATGCTGTCTCTGCTGCTGCCGATGTTGTCTAAGTTGCTGCCGATGTTGTCTCTACTGCTGCCGATGTTGTCTCTGCTGCTGCCGATGTTGTCTCTGCTGCAGCCGATGTTGTGTCTGCTGCTGCCGATGTTGTCTCTGCTGCTGTCGATTGAATTGTTGCTAATGCTCTTGCTAGTTCTGCCTCAGGAATGGTGTGCGAGTACCAGAATTCTTCGGGGCTGAAGTCAGGATCAAGATCCGGTGGGTGCGTCCAGGAGGTGAAGGTGACGATCCCGTCGCTGTCGGCGGTGCCTAGATCTGGAACGAAGTCGAGAACAAATATGTTGTTCTTCAGGACGGCCTTGCCGATGTAGAGGCCTCCTCTCCCGTGGTACAGCTTGAACTCTTGTGTTGTGTTGTTTGCTTCGAGGTGGATGCCTTTCGCCATCAGCTGACTGACGCTCCGTAAGTTCTAGCCGAGTCCCTCCGCAATTAACACCTTTGACATCTGTAGTATGATATTTGTCTCTCATGATTGAAGTTGCACTACGCCTTGTCGTCGTGTGTGCAGGTTCTGGTTGTTAGCAACGGTGATGACGACTTCGCGTTGAAGTTGGTGTTCGCGTTGAACGAAGCGACCTGAAGAGCACATATGCTGTCCGCAGCAACTGTCCAATAACCAGGTATCTTTCCCGGACGGCTCGCTTTGATCAATGGCTGCATACGTCGGGTTCGGTTGAAGTGACTCGCGGCGAGGAGTGCTGTTGTCGAGTTGCTCTTCCGGTGAGTAGTGCGGTGGTGACTCAGTGATGCAGGATTCAGTCAGTCTTGCCATGCAACTGACGATGTTTCTTGTTCCTTGTGCAGATTGCGTTGACGATTTTGCTGAGGACTGCAGTTGACTCGTGGGGTGCGCTTGTGTGGACGCCACTTGACTACTTGAAGGACGAAGTTGGCATTGCGGCGGCGTTGACTGTTGTCGATTCGGGCAGTGTGTGCGAGGGTGCCCTGAAGTCTTGCAGAGATGACAGAATGGAGGTACGGGTTTTGATTGATGCCGATTGTTGTTGTTGTTGTGGCGCCGTTGAGTGTGGAACGCAAATTCAGGTACAGACGTTTTCCTCTTGTGCCGCTCCTCTTGCAGGTCCATATCTTGCTGCTCAGCGTGAATTTCGACGCATAGTGCTGCTTCGGAAATCTTCCCGTGAGCTCGGAGTATGGCGCGAGTGGAGTGCCTATGAGGACCAAGACCGCCAATGACGACTGTGACGAAGGCGTCTTCTGAATTCGACCCTCCGCAACGAAGGGGTTTGTCGCGCAATTCACGACAGCGACTGATATATGCCATCCCTTTTTCACCTAGCTTCATTTCCACTGTTGTCAGTTGTGCCATTAACCGACTCTGATTGACGCTGTCTATTGCCTCATACAGGTTCTTCAGGTGGTTGTACGCGAGCTCGGTGGAGTTCCCGTATCCTCAGTAAGACCGAATGTTCCGCTGCTAGTTCGGTGTGACGTTGTGCAGTAGGATAGTATACGCCATCATGGATTGATATGTATACTGCTGCTTGTCGTACTGCGTCCCGTGCATTGGATATGGCAGGGACCCGTCGAAGAAGCCAAGAATCTGCGCGCCTTCCATGATCAGCTCGAATTCGAATGACCAGGTAAAGAATTCCTTTCCGTCGAACGGTCTTGATGTCTGCAGTTTTAAGACGTGCGCAAACTGCGACTGGACTTGAAGTGCATCTAATGATTTTTCTTGCTCAGGTGAAGGCTGTTGGCGTGGCATGAAGCTGACCGAACTGCGCTGAGGTTCGTATGGGGCGAAGGTAGGTTGTTGCTGATTTCCTCGCGCGTATGATGAACCGTCGAGGCTCATCTGTGTCACATTGTTGTTGTTGCTGTTGTTTGACTGCGCAGGTGCCCCTTTGCTGGTGTTGTTCGTAGAAGGACATGAAGGAGAAGAATTTCTCCATCATGTCTGTGTCAAAACCCGCAGCTTGATTCGCGGGAGTTTCGGTAGACCCAGCTGCCGGTCTTGTTGCTGTGCCCTCCTCTGTCTGTAGGCCAGAGGCAGGAGGTAGAGTAGGAGTAGTACCGGGAGAGCCGCTAGAGGAGCTTCTCTCCTTCTGCGTTGCCATGCCTTGTGATGTTGTAGTTGAATTTGTCCTGATAGCTCTCATACCATGTTGGGCTGAGAAAAGCCCTTAGGATCTTTGCAGGACTAAGCTCTGAGTAGGAACAATGTAATAGCGGAAGCGTTTAATGATAAGTCTGTGAACCACCTTGCACTAGTATGTGAGGATAAAGTAGATTGATTAAAAAACAATGAGATCCAATATTTTATAAGAGTGCAGGGGAATATGAAGGGTTATAGCTAATAACTTTTTTGGTGTTGCTGTTGTGGTTCGATACAGTGACGACTCGGGCAACTGCTCAGTAACGAGTCTGTTGTTTGTCCTTGCTGTCGCGCTGTACTTGTCAGGTCAAAGGTCACTGACCTTTGACTTTCGTGTAACCTCCAGCAGTTGTTCAACCTCCGAGGGTTGACTCGCCGATGCTTCGCTGTGTTTCGCTTCGTTTATGACTTAGTGCTTCGACACAACAGAGGCGCTTAAGTTACTTGTTTCCAACAGCATCATCTCTGCTGTCGCATCATCTCTGCCGTGGCATCATCTCTGCCGCCGCATCATCTCTGCCGCCGCATCATCTCTGCAGCCGCATCATCTCTGCCGCCGCATCATCTCTGCCGTCGCATCATCTCTGCCTTCGCATCATCTCTGCCTTCGCATCATCTCTGCCGTCGCATCACACCACCGTATTCCGCATCCTTCCTGCCAGCGCTTGCGTGTTATCCGCCCCTTCTTCAACATCTGATGCTCCTGCTGACCTGCCTTCTGCCTCAGCGGTGCTAACAGTGATGTGGCAAAAAGTTCATGATTTATTAAACGGTTTCAGATACCAGACACTATAAAGATACTCATTGTTCCATGCTTGTACCGTCTTGTTTTGAAATGACTTATTGCAAAGCATTGATCATGATTGGTGTAAAGCTCATCTGCTGCTGGGCGCTGCTATCTCAATTTTCTGCTCCCATCTCAATCAACGGCCGACTACAAGACATTCAGGCGATTTCCAACAAGCACACCAAAGGCAAAAATGCTGCTGATTTCATTAAAAAAGAACAACGCAATGTTCCCGTCCACCTCAGCCCACCCAGCATTTCTAAGATATTCTCAAATTATTTCCCATTCCTCATTTCAAATCCTCATTTGGCCCGGCCTAGTCGCACTTGGACCTGCACTTCTTGGCCTTGCGCTTGCACTTCTTGTAGTCGTCGGTGCACTCCTCGTGCTCCTCCTTGTCGTCCTTGTACTTGCGCTTGCACTTGCTGTAGTCCGTGTTGCACTTCTTGTTCGTCTTCTCGCACTTCTGCTTGCAGCTGTGCAGCATGCGGTGCGCCTGGGGAGACCACAGGAAACGCCTGCTTCCGCCGAACAGCTTGCTCAGGAAACCTGCTGAAACACAAAGACAACGAAAAGCTTGTCAACACAGAAAGAATGAATAGCAGCCTTGTTCACCAATAATTTGAATAGGAGAGTGAGCAGACATTTCGGCATGCGACGGGGGACATTATCTTGCTAGGGGCTGTCGGAGCTAAACACACCAGGCTCCGACGCGGCAGAAATTTCAGTGGGGTCTTCAGCGTCGGCGTCGAAAGCGGCATCGTCTTCCGCGACGATCTCATCCGCGCGGCAGAGCGGCGCGAGCGCGAGGGACACAACCAGAGAGAGCGCGAGCCAGATGAGAAGCTTGGAACGCCCCATGGCTGGGTGAGAGAAGGCTCGGAGCGCAGTTGATAGAAAGTAGAGAAGCTTTGGAATAGCTTGTTTAGAACTGGATGAATTCGGGGATGGGGGGCGCACCTTTTGTACCAAATTTTGGTTGAGGCAATGCAATGCTTGCTCTGGTCTGCACCGGGACGGGTCAGCTCGGCAAGGCGGCTGCAAGGCAGTTCGGGGCGGGGAGGTTTTGGTGCGAGGTCTCCTAAGCTGATGAATTTTCACTGAGAGGTCGGCGTTTGGAATGACGTGGCAAAGAATTGCAGGTGATTCAATGGATTTAGATAGGTGTGATTTCTGTGTAGGTGGGGATTGGTTGGTATTGGAGGCATATTCCAGGTGGCATAGTGCCAATCTTGTTTACGAAAGTGTTTACGCTTTTTGTGCTCGAAACGGGCTCGCGAAACGTTACTCCCAATTTCGGAAGGAACCTGTAAATGGTGAGGCTGTTAACCAACAGGCGGCCAACTCAGCGCGGCCCGCGATCCTGATTCTTCATCGAGGTCGAAGCGCGCACCAATGGGAATCGCTTATGCGAGCGGGCTGCGCCCGGAACATCAACAAGGGTCAAGAATGGGAAGCAGTAGTACACCATAGTATTCTTTATAATGGGAAGTACACACTTCCAAGAGGAGAAAAAAGCATAACTTCTTGCTCACTAACTGATGTGCTTTAATCGTGTAGATCTTAAGACGTGCAGGCGAAAAATGCTTCGCGCACTAGCATTCGCTCCTCCGTGAAGAAAAGATATATACCCTCCATTCCATCTGCGCATAAAATCCAGTTTTTCCGGTTACACGCAATGCATGTTTTTACGAGAAATGTGACTTACCATTGTTTTTGACAGCTTGTAGTGTTAGAACAAAAACATTATACCTTTAAAGATGTCTGTGTAGCGCGTCTCAGCGCCTTGGATCAGATGTGGCGCCTGACACACACTGACAGCCTCCCTCAACCCCAGGTTCTCGCTAGGAAACACAGATTCCATCTGTCGCACTACTTCCCCCAGTCCTGTGACAGATCGTCGTCACGTCATTCACGACATCGTGGAGTGCAGTTCTAACCCCATAACGGCATCAGGGATTGTATCAACCTGTTCACAGCGCGAATGCTCATAACATGTCAGATCCGAGAGTACCAGCGCAAGTAAGTCTAGCTATCCACTTCTAGCTAGATACCTTTCGTTCGGACGTGAAGGCTGAGACCACTCATACTGTCACTGCATCCTCTTTCCTCTCGTTTCGTTACCTTTGATAGTTCTTAGCAGGCATTTTCTAGGTTGAAGCATAAGGGTCCTGCAACGACAGATTGGCACGAGATCCTACCCAGCATGGCGTCAGCCGTCGTAGACGAAAAGCTGCTTCGGTTCGGTCAGGCCCTCGAGTCTGTCATCGATGCGGAGATTGAGAAGATAGAAACGGACGACATTCAGCAACTAAGAGAGCGACGGCTCAAGGAGCTCAAGCAACAGGCACAGAAGAAGCAGGAGTGGCTAGCAGCCGGACACGGACACTATAAAGAGCTTTCCTCAGAAAAGGAGTTCTTCAGTGAAGTCAAAACCTCGGACCACGTCGTCTGTCACTTCTTCCGAAGCAGCCGGCCATGTCAGGTACGTTTCCACAGTGTGTGGTCGAAAGGTGGTGATTTGTTGCAGATCCCTCTCAATTTTTCTCGTTTTCCCTTGTCGAATCTTCTTGAATCGACTCAATTTTTTTCTCATCTTCTCCACAGATCATGGACAAGCACCTTGAAATCTTGGCGAGAGAGCATTTAGAAGCCAAGTTCCTCAAGATCAACGCGGAAAAGAGCCCGTACCTCGCCGAGAAACTGCGTATATTCATGCTTCCGACGCTGGCCTTGGTTCACGAAGGCAAAGTCACAGGATACGTTGTAAGTCAAATAAGGTTTTCGTTTTTGTAAGGTTTTCAATCACAATATCGGTTGCATTAGGTCATAACGTGTTATGCATTTGCTATACACAGGTTGGATTTGACGAGCTTGGCGGATCTGAAGATTTTCCCACAGAAGTTCTCGAGACTCGGCTAGTCCTTGGTGGAGCTCTTTCCGAGGAGAAGCTGTCTGGCCGTCGGCACTCCAAGCAGACAGCCGCTACCGTGAGACGAGGCGGTGATGCCGGCAGCGATGACGATGATTTCTAAAATGTTTCTTTGCGGCCCCTAATGTGCTTCAGAAGCTAAATTAGCCAATGCTAGTTCCTTTAATGTATAAAAAACGTCAGGTGGTAGGCCAAGCGTTGTGTACATTAGTCACCTTACTCTTTGGCTTTCTTTAATTGCACAAGGCCTGTGAATTAAACAGAAGAGCTAAATTTACTGTAACTGCAGGAAGAAACCAAGGCAATCAGGTATTACAGGTGGAAGAAATGCACTACTAACTGCTACCTAGACATGAGATGTAAGTGACGTAAAGCAAATATTGAGTCGCATAACCCCAGCATAACCAAGTAACCCCTGGCCATGTTCAAGAATGTGGTTGGGTGTGCGACTCCCACTGGTTCATCCCTCCAGGCGGTGCTACAGTAGCATCGGGTGCAGCATAAGGTATGGTCGGCAGCACCGGGAACAACCCCTCCTGCTCCTGCCCGTAGCTGTACTGCTGAGCTGGCGGTTGATAATGATGATGTACGGGTGCTGATGCGCTGTACGGGTTATGATGCGCTGGGTACGGTTGATTATAGTACTCATTACTGTAGGTGTAGGTTTGATGTTGGTGGTAGTCTGGTTGTGGGGGCACTTGCTGCTGGTAATCCACAGGGGGCGAACTGCTGAGGAGGCTGCATCTGCTGCTGTTGTTGCTGCTGATATCCACTGTAGCTCCCTAGTATGCCTCTAGGATCAGAAACGGATGGCTGGGATGCACTTGTGTAGAAACGAGTGAACGGATTAGATGCTCCCTGCTGCTGCTGCTGCTGCTGCTGCTGCTCTTGCTGCTGGTGCTGCTGCTGCTCTTGCTGCTGGTGCTGCTGCTGCTCTATCTGCTGCTGCTGCTGCTCTTGCTGCTGCTGTTGCTGCGGCTGCTGCTGGTGCTGGCTTGTGAGAGGAGGAGAGCGGAAACCGGAGGATGATTGAACGGCCGAGGGAGATTGAAGGCCTGAGGGCGATTGCAGCCGAGACGGTGTTTGAGCACTGGAGGGAGGGGACTGTAACGGAGCTGCTCTTAGAGAGGCAGGTGGACGGGCAGACGGCCGAGAATGAGAGTGCCGCTTGTGCTGGGACCCGCTCTGCCCTGCTGCTCCTGCTCCTGCTCCTGCTCCTGCTGTGGCTCTTCCCCTGGCCAAATGAGCAGCAGTAGCAACAGCAGTAGCAGAAGTACGGAGGGAGGGAGTCACCCATTGCACGTCCGGTGGGGGAGGCGAGGCAAAATCGCCGCTCATCACTCCCCCGCCCCCTCCCCTTCCCCCTCCCCCTCCCTCTCCCCCTCCCCCTCCCCCTCCCCCGTCCCATCCCCCTCGCACTCCCCCTCCTCTCCCTCCCGCTGGTCCTGCTTGCGCTGCGGATGCACCCCCAGTGCGCCCCTCCCCCACCCCTTCTGATGCCAACCCCAGGTTCAACTGAAATCCAGCACTCTCTGTCCTGCCTCTCCCTCCCTCCCCCCTCCCACCATCTCTCCCTCCCTCTGCTGCTACTGCTGCTGCTTCAGTCCCAAACCCCCTTCCAAACTCCCCGGCTCCTCCTCCTCCTCCACCTCCTCCTGCTCCTCCAGCCCCGGCGCCATCTGCCTCCAGGAGAAAATCTGTGATGAAATCAAGAGTGGGGGTGTTGACCCTCGAAGGCCCACTACCAGCACCAGCAGCACCAGCACCAGCACCAGCACCAGCACCAGCGCCAGAACCAGCAGCAGCAGCACCAGCAGCAGCAGCAGCGCCATACGTGTGTGCTCTCTCAACTGCACCATAGGAGCGGTCGAATGTGCTCGTTGGCTCTGCCCTCCGGTCATCCCTCCACACATCCAGCAATGCGTTCACATCTGTTCGCTGCCCCTGCTGCTGCCTCTGCCCCTGCCCCTGCTCCCGCTCCTGCTGCTGCTGCTGCTGTTGACCAAAGCTGTTCAGTGCTGCTCTTTCCATAGCAGCATTGGCTGCTGGCACGTCCTCCTCCCCCTCACTATCACTCAAATTGATCGGATTATCCTCCCCTCCCGCATTCCCAAAATAGTTCGCCCCACTCCCTCCACACACTCCCGCGCCTACCCCCGCACCCCCACTGCCCCCCACTCCCCTCCCCCCGACTCCACTTCCCCCCACTCCTCCCCCTCTGCCCTGATTCGCTTCCCTCCCGCGCCCACTGTTCCGATTGCCAAGAGACGACCTGTCTTCATGCCCTGACTCTGCCGTCTGTGCTGCTCCCACACTCGATTCCCCCCTTGCATCCACCGCTGCCCCGTTCCTCCCTGCTACAGCCGCTCCTGCAACAGCTGCTCCTCCTGCTGCGCCCATGCCTGCTTGCACTGCTCCAGATGCCCCAGGCCATCCTGCTAGCGCTGCTGCTGCTGATAAGTCTCCATTGCTGAGGGTGTTAAATCCCTGTTGCTCTCTTGTACCCCCTCTCGTTGTGTTCCCGCCAAACCCAAGAGACAAACCAACATCTTCTCCTGCCAGTGTAGGTCCGTTTCCTCCCCCTCCTCCTCCTGCTCTAACTGTGTCTGCTCCTGTTTCTACTCCTCTTCCTATTGGCCATCTCGTGCGCTGTCTCTTGGGAGTGTGCACGCCAATGGGAGCAGGAAGGGTACCAGCAGCACCAGCATTAGCACCAGCACCCCCATCAGTACCATCACCAAGCAACTCAATTACCACTGGCTGCTGCTGCTGCAGGAAAGGCAACTGCTGCTGCTGAAACTGCCCCGACTGCTGTTGCTGCTGCAGAGCCTGCCTGCAGTCAACCTCACTCCCTCCCGCCTCATCCTTCCCCATCCACCGTCCCCTCTTCGCCCGGGACTCACCAGACAACAAATCCCACGCCCCTCCTGCGCCCGACCTTGTCCCGCTCGTCACATCATCAGCCGTATCCCCCTGCCCCTCCACCATCCCATTCCCATTCTCCCCCACTCCCAACCCCACTTCGCCCCCCACTCCTATCTCCCTCTTCACCTGACCTGCAGGCAGGCGCACGTCTCGCCAGGGGAGGTCGGCGGCAGCAGCGGCAGGAGTTGACTTGGCTGACTTGCCTGCTTTGGTAGTTTCCATGCAAGTGTAAAACAAAGAAACGAGAGTCGATATGAGAAGAGATGCACTTAAATAGAAAGAAAAAGAAGAAAGAAGGAAAGAAAAAACTGCTGCAGCGGCGGCGGCAGCAGCAGACGTTGACTTGCTTGACTTGTCTGACTGATGGCAAGGTGAAAAGAGTACGTCCACATACGGTTGAAAAAGGGTTATAATTGTTCCAGAGCGGTCTAATTAAAACAAAAGATGGTTGGGTAGGTTTCTCTGCGAATACGTGCATTGTTTGACCCGCCCTTACCTGCTTTGGAGGCGCCATGCAGCGACTCTAGTTTGGGCCGCCACGTGCCATCCGCCCTCAGTTGAATGTCTGTCACGTCACTGTCATACTGAGCCATCTAGGGAGGATAAGGGAAGGGTGGGGAGTTAGCAGGGAAACGTGTAAAGTGGGATTGCACTTCAAAACATGCCGTGAGCCCTGAGTTGAATGTAGGTGAGTTACTGTCATACTGAGCCATCTGGGGGGACGGAGGGGAGAAGGAGGTGTGTGGAAGAGGGGAGTGGAGGTGAGGCGGGTAAGAGCTCTTTGAGGCGCCACATGTCATCCGCCCTGAGTACAATGTCAGTGACGTCACTGTCATAGTGGGCCATGTGGGGGGGGAGTGGAGGCGGGAAAGGGGGACAGGGGGGAGGGGCAGAGTAGGCCGGGTAGCACTCAGCAATGTGGCGTCCGCCCTGAGTTGAATGACTTTTAAGTGGGGGTGAAGTTGAATGTCAGTGACGTCACTGTTGTGTGGGGCCACCTGGGGATGAAGGGGAGAGGGGGAAGGGGAAGGGTGGGAGAGGGGAGGGAGAAATGGGAAGGGGATGACAATTTGTACATCATTTCTTGGGAGGAGGTGGGGGCATGTTTGTACGCCTGTTTCCCTTGCAAACATACCCACAGAGAGGAGATGAGCGAGAAAGGCACCTCTTTATTGAGAAGAAGAGCGGGCGGGTGGGAGGGGGGGGGGGGGGAGGGGGAAAGGGAGGGCGGACATTTCTCTTGGTAGACACGGTGGAAGACGGGGTAGATGATGAGCAAGTGGGCTGGGACACGCGAGGATGTTGGGAGGGGGAACGGACCTCTTTTGTCAGGAAGGGGTGGGAAGGGCGACACAGCTGTCACGGTGGAGGAAGGGGTCTATGACGAGTTAGTCGAGCGCGTAGAGCTAGGGTGGGCCCTATTGAGGTATGCACGTGTCGAAGCAGTTATCAAGTGAGAAACGCCGTAGGCTGGGCGAATTAAGGAAAGACTCTGGAAGCTTCAATACTAATGGACAATCACAGAATACCAACCACTCGAGCTTCTCCAGCCGTCCAATCGTCACTGACACGTGGCACGACAGCAACTGATGTATGTGGCAGCAAGTGATGTACAAGGTGTATAGGTGTTTGCTTGAAGGAAACGCACCTCTCTTAATTTTCGCATTTGCTCTTAGTACCATCCGCATGGGTAAGTAACGATTTACTCTTAGTACCATCCATATAGAAAGTAACGCACTTACGCTTATTACAATCCACATGGGCAAGTAATGCACTTACTCTTGAGACCATCCACATGGGCAAATTACGCACCTACTCGTTGTACCATCCATATGGGTAAGTAATGCACTTACTCTTCGTACCATCTATAGGGAAATTACGCACTTATTCATATTACCATCCACATGAGTAAATTGCGCACATACTCTTACTACCATCCACATGGTTAAGCAACACACTTGCTTTTAGTACCATCCACATAGATAAGTAACTTACTTTCTCGTAGTACCATCCACATAGGTAAATTACGCACCTACTCTTAATACCATTCACATGGGTAAGCAACACACTTACTCTTAGTACCATCCACATGGGTAAGTCATGCACTTAATCTGAGTACCATCCACATGGATAAGTAATGAACGTACTCTTATTACCAACCACATGGGTAAGAAATGCACTTACTCTTAGTACCATTCATACGAGTAAGTAATGCACTTACTTTTACTACCATTCACATGGGTAAGCAACACACTTAATCTTACTACCATCTACATGGGTAAGTAACAAACGTACTCATAGTACCATCTACATAGGTAAATTACGCATTTACTCTTTCTACCATCCACATGGGTAAGCAACTCACTTACTCTTAGAACCATCCGCATGGGTAAACGACGTACATACCATTAGTACCATCCACATAAGTAACGCCCTTACTCTTAGTACCATCCATATGGGTTAGTAACGCACACATTTTTAATACCCGCTACATGGGTTGTAATGCCCCCATGGGTAAATTACGCACCAATTGTTAGTACCATCCACATGAGTAAACTACAGACTTACTCTTAGTGCCATTCACATGGGTAAGTTATGCATTTACTTCTAGTATCATCCACATGAGTAAAGAACGCAGTTACGCTTACTACAATCCACATGGGTAAGTAACACGCTTACTATTAGTACCATCCACATGTGTAAATTATGCACTTACGCTTAGTACCATCCACATGAGTAAATTACGCATCTACTCGTAGTACCATCCATATGAGTAAGTAACGCACTTATTCTTTGTACCATCTACATGAGTAAAATTACACACATACTCTCACTACCATCCACATAAGTAAACAACACACTTACTTTTGGTACCATCCACATGGGTAAGTTACGCGTTTATTCTTAATACCATCTACGTGGAGAAATTACGCACTTACTCTTACTACCCATGCATGTGGCACGGCAGCAACTGATGTACGTAGTGTATAGGTGTTTGATTCAGGGAACACACCTCCCAAAGACGATTGAACGGCTGAAGAAGCTCGAGTGGTTGGTGATATGTGATTGTCCAAAGGTATCGAAGCTTGCAGAGTCGTTTCTTAATCTGCACTACTTACTGCGTTGCTCATTTGGTAACTGATTCGAGTCGTGATCTCTTCCATATAACTCTGGAAAAGTTTTCTCTGTACAATATCTTAGCCTTAGTAATCTGCGAAATCTAGGGATGAGCAAAGGGCGAACACGAACATGTTCGTCTTCGCCCGTTGTCGAACACCCTCTTTTGCCGAACCGAACACTGTTCGGTTCGGCGAACAGTTTAGGAAAAAACAGGTGTTCGCTGTTCGCCTGTGGAGGCGTGTTCGGGCGAACCTCGAACACTGTTCGTGTTCGTCGCGGGCAAATTTCAGCAGCGGCCCGAACACGAACGTGTTCGGGCGAACATCGAACACTGTTCGGCGAACGATTTGAGCTAAAAAACAAAACCTGTTCGGTTCGCCTCGAACACGTTCGAGGCGAACCGAACAGGTGTTCGCCACCTTGCTCATCCCTAGCGAAATCTTCGCAGTCTCACTGCTTCGTTCCAAGACTCTCGACTAAGTGGCTGGAAGTGAGGTATTGTGAAGTATCTCACTTCCAGCCACTCTAATCAAGAAAAGTCTTGGAACGAATCAAGGGTGCAAAGATTTCGCAGACTGCTAAGACTAGGATATTCTAGTGAGAAAAATGTTCCCAAGGTATATGGAAGAAATGACGACTTGAAGCAGTTACCAAGTGAGCAACGCAGTAAACTGGGCAGATTGAGAAACGACTCTAGAAACTTCGATACCTTTGGACAATCACATATCACCAACCACTCGAGCTTCTTCAGCCGTCCAATCTTCCCTGGCACATGGCACGGCAACAAGTGATGTATGTGGCAGCAGGTGATGTACGTGGCTGCAATTGGTGTACGTGGCAACAACTGGTGTGCGTGGCAGCAACTGGTGTGCGTGGCAGCAACTGGTGTGCGTGGCAGCAACTGATGTGTGTGGCAGCAACTGGTGTAGGCAGCAGCAACTGGTGTGGGTGGCAGCAACTGATGTGGGTGGCAGCAACTGGTGTGGGCGGCAGCAACTAATGTGCGTAGCAGCAACTGATGTGCGTGGCAGCAACTGATGTGCGTGGCAGCAACTGATGTGTGTGGCAGCAACTGATGTGCGTGGCAGCAACTGATGTGCATGTTAGCAACTGATGTGCACGTCAGCAACTGATGCACATGGTGTATAGGTGCTTGAGGGAACGCACCTCCCAAAGACGATTAAATTTGCCGAAGAAGCTGGAGTGTTTAGTGATCTGTGATTCTCCAAAGGTAACGAAGCTTCCATCAACTACTTTTGGACAATAGCAGATCACCAACTACTCGAGCTTCTTCAGCCATCCAATCGTCTCTGGCACGTGGCACGGCAGCAACTAATGTACTTGGCAGCAAGTGATGTACGTGGTGTAAAGATGTTTGCTTAAAGGGAACACACCTCCTCACAGACTCGGTGGAAGAAGGGATCGATGATGAGCGAGTCGAGCGCGTAGAGCTTCATGCACACGGGGCACTGCCACTGGGGGGAGCAGAGGAGGGAAGGGGCGGGGGGACAAAGGGCGCAGGGCGGAGGGGAGGAGTGGAGTGAGCTACGATTGAGGGTCGATGGGGTCAATGATGAGTGAGTCGCACAATTGAATCGCATTGACACTTGCCGTTCGAAAAAATCACACCTGCGCACCTCAACTCTCAACAACCTTGCGAACGCGTTGGTTAATCTCAATGAATGTGTGCAGGTCAAAGCACCCCACGTGCGCACACTAACCTCCCCTCCCCACGTGCTAACATAGTACCAGCACACCCGCGTACACATCCATCAACATGCCTTCCTAGCGCGTTGGTTGATCTCAATGAATGTGTGCAGGTCGAAGCACCCCATGTGCGCACACTCCCTGAATCGCCCTGCCTCTCGAATGCGCGAGCCACTCATCTGGGAAGAGGGGGAGGATGGTGTGAGAGCAGTCGACTCCGAAATCAAGTGGGGAAGAGGGGGAGGAGGATGTGAGAATAGGCAGTCATCTGAAGTAGCAAGGGAGGGAGGGAAGATGTAATGTAACTTCAGCCAGTTGGGATGGGAGGACGGTCTAGCCTTGCTGCAAAGCTACTCGTCCATGGAAGAGCAGGATGGGTGTGTGTGTGTGTGTGTTTGCACAAGCACACTCACAGGGCAGCGCAGGTTGAGCGTCACATGATCCTGCATCACAATCAGGTCGCTGCTGCTGCTGCTATCCGAAGACACTGCTGGCTTCGCCCCACCCCCACCCCCACCCCCACCCCCACCCCCACCCCCACCCCCACCCCCACCACCCCACCCCCCCCACCACCGCCTGCACCGCCTGCCCCTCCTTTCCCACTACCCCCACCCCCTCCTCCTCCCACACAGCGCTTCACTCGAGCGAGGGCGGATTCAAGTGACTCCCCCACGTCCAGAGGCGGAATCATGGCCATCACCTGGCACGGGGGGTGAGGGGGAGAGGGTGCAGGAGATGTTGCTTGGATGTGTTGAAGCAGGGCGCTCCACTTGAGCGAGGGCGGATTGGAGTGACTCCCCACGTCCAGAGGACGAATCATGGCCATCACCTGGTGGTATGGGGGTGAGGAGGGTGAAGGGGAAAAGGTGAGGCACTGCTTCAGACGTGCTGAAGCAGATAACTGATTCGAGCGAGAAGGGACTCGAGTAACTCCCCCACGTCCACAGGAGGAATGGCCATCACCTGGTGGTATGGCGGGTGAGGGATGATGAGGGGACGGGGGAAGAGGGATCAAGGGAAGGGACGAGTGGAGTGAAGATGGCGTGTGGGTGCTGAATTAACGCGCTTCACTCGAGCAAGGGCGGGCTCGAGTGACTCCCCTCCCCCACGCCCACAGGAAGAAACACTGCCATTGCCATACAGGGGCAAGGGATGGGTCACAGCTGTTGATAACAACCCACGCCCCTGCATCTTTAAACGTGCCACCGCACTGCACATCACCGGACATCACCGCATTTCACCGCATGCATGCACCTCAGCGAAGAATCGCGTGCAGATGATGTGCACGCTCATGCAAGAAATGGGCCACTGCTGTTGAGAACAACCCATCACCGCACACCACCGCATTTCACCCCACGCACCTCGTCAAACGATCGTTTGCGGATGATGCGCACACCGATGCAGAAGGGGCGCTTATCAATTGCAGCCATGGCGACGTGGTTGTCCCCCGCATGGCATGCCTCCGCTATCTGGAAGGGCGTGGGGGTAGGGGGAGGGAAGCAGGGGGGGAAAGAAAGGGCAGGGGAAGGAAAGGTTAAAGCTGGAAGCAAGGGGCCCTTATCAACGGCAGCCATGGCCACATGGTTGTCCCCCGCATGGCATGCCTCCGCTATTTGGGGAGGAGAAAGGGCAGGGGAGAGAAGGGGTAAAAGAGCGGATAGGATAAGGGCACCTGTTGGGGAGGAGAAAGGGCAGGGGAGAGAAGGGTAGGAGAGCCAGGCGGGATAAGGGCACGTGTTGTCAATGGCGGGAGGGAGAGGGAGAGCAGAGCAGCGAGAGAGAGAGAGAGCGCGTGTTGTCAATGGCGGCCAGAGCCTCATCCCTGTCCCCCGCATGGCATGCCTCCGCTATCTTTGAAGGAGAGGCAGAACAGAGGCAGCATGAGTGCAGCAAGGTAGCATGAGCAAAGGACGTACCAGACCTAACATGTGTGGAACAGAAGCAGCATGAGCAGGCAAGGAAGGCAGAGCAGTTAGGCATTTTTGGAACGTCAGGCAAGGCAAGGCAGCAGCGAGTGAGGGCATACTGAGGGTCCGTCATCGCGGCCGTTTGCTCCCAGCAGCTGCTGCCCAGGCCGGTTGGTGACTCGTACACTGCGACCTGCGCGTGGTTAGAGGAGAGGTTAGGGGAGAGGAGGGGAGGGGGCAGAAGGGACAGCACGAGAGAAGGAGAGGAAGTCAGAGCGCCGTTGTAGCACCTGTTGGTGACCCATACACTGCAACCAGCGAGCGAGGGGAGGAGAGGGGAGGGGAGAGGGGGGGAGGAGAGAGGAGGCGAATGGAAGGGAAGGGTGGGGAGGGAGAGGGAGAGAGCACAAGGGACAGCACAAGAGAAGGAGAGGAAGTCAGAGCACCGTCGTCATGCCCGCGGGCTCCCGTTGTCACGTCCCACCCACCCACCCTCCCTCCCCATCCACCCACCCACCCACCTACGCACACACCCACACCATGCCTCCAACCCGTGCATACCGGCCACCCATCCGCACATGCACGTACACACACAGGCTCAAGCCAGAAGTATCTCACTGTTGATTTGCAGCTGTGGGTATGCAGGCCAGTGCATGCGGTTGGCGGTTTTGTCGTCGCGCAATACACACAGACACGCACACACACACGCATGCACGCACACACACAGGCTCAAGCCAGAGGTATCTCACTGTTTATTTGCAGTTGTGGATATGCAGGCCAGTGCATGCGGTTGGCGGTCTTGTCGTTTAACAGCACACACCACACCTGGTGACAAGGCATCCGACAGAGTGAGGGTTCATTTATTTATTCATGAAGGGTTCATCCACATATACATTCATTCGTAACATTTGCATGACACCAAAGCGGGGCACGTGAAAGAATAAAAGTAATCTGGTCTGGGCATTCACAACAAAACAGAACGAAGGAGAAGAGGAACAAACGCAAACATCACTGGGCAATAATGAAATCGAAGAGCAGCAACTTTCAAACTACTGGGAAGGGCAGGGAAAGGCAGTGGAAGAGAGAGCATTTGCAGAAGTGTCTCCAGCGATTGGGCTCACCTGCAGGTAGGGATGAGCAATATGACGAACTCCTGTTCGGTTCGCCTCGAACGTGTTCGAGGCGAACCGAACAGGATTTTTTTTTGGCCTAAATTGTTCGGGGCGAACGTGTTCGGTGTTCGCCCGAACACGTTCGCCGTTCGCCCGGCTCAGCTCGCCGAGGCGTGTCGAACACGAACGTGTTCGTGTTCGACACGGGCCTTCGACAAACACCAATGTGTTCGTCGACAAATAGGCCCGCGACCAATTTTTAGGTCGCGGGCCTTGGTGTTTGGGCTCAGATCTGGCCTTTCGCAGTTAGTAAAGTGCAGATCTAGCATTTTGCCATTGCTTAAGTGCGGATCGAGCATTTCGCCGTTGTTTAAGTGCGGATCGAGCATTTCGCCGTTGCTTAAGTGCGGATCGAGCATTTCACCGTTGCTTAAGTGCGGATCTAGCATTTCGCCGTTGCTTAAGTGCGGATCGAGCATTTCGCCGTTGCTTAAGTGCAGATCTAGCATTTCGCCGTTGCTTAAGTGCGGATCTAGCATTTCGCCGCTGCTTAAGTGCGGATCTAGCATTTCGCCGCTGCTTAAGTGCGGATCTAGCATTTCGCCGCTGCTTAAGTGCGGATCTAGCATTTCGCCGTTGCACGCTGGCACTAGATGGATGAAGCAGGGCGGGACTGGCTTGGGAGGTGGGGGGAGAGAATGTGCGACGATTTGAATTTTACTCTATATTGAATTTCCCCCTGGGCGAACACGAACATGTTCGCCTGTTGCAGCAATTCGTTCGCTCCTAGGGCGAACGGCGAACACCTATTTTCACTCAAGTCGTTCGCCGAACCGAACACTGTTCGGTTCGGCAGAAGGCCATGTTCGTCAGGGGGCGAACACGAACATGTTTGAGTTCGCCCCCTGCTCATGCCTACCTGCAGGTAGTGGTGCGGGCATCTGAGCGTTAAGAGGTCGTGCGGGGTGAGCGTGAAATTGTGCTCCAGTTGCTGCAGCACTTGAAGCATGGTGTACCTGCATGCACCCTTCTGGTTTCAGCTGCTAATCTGACTCACCTGTGCGGCCTTCTCACCTGCAGGTAGTGGTGTGGGCGTCTGAGGAGAGAGAGGTCGTGTGGGGTGAGCGTGAAGTTGTGCTCCAGTCGCTGCAGCACCTGGTTGCTGCGGGGGAGCAGGCGAGATTGCAGAAGAGGGGCAGGAGTGAATGTGAGAGTGAAATTGTGCTCTAAAAGCTGCTGCGGGGATCATGTGAGTGAGATTGCAGTACCGGGGCAGGAGTGAATGTGAGAGAGCACATGAAGGTGAGGGTGAGAGTGAGAGAGAAGGTGCAGGGTGGGCGTCTGAGCAGAGAGAAGTTGTGTGGGGTGAGGGTGAAATTATGCTCCAAACGCTGCAGCACCTGGTTGCTGTGGGGGAGAAGGCGAGATTGAGGAGCATGGGAACGAGGGGAGGGGAGGAGTGAAGTGAACATGAGAGTGAATATGTGCTCTAGATGCCGCAGCAACTGGTCAAGATGGGCGGGAAGAAGCTGAAATTGAGGAAGGGGGAAAGCGCGGGGAGGGAGGAGTGAACATGAGAGTGAATGTGTGCTCTAGGCGCTGCAGCAAATGGTTGCCGTCGGGAGAAGGTGAAATTGAAGAATGAGGAGGAGGGGAGTGAGGGATAGGGGAAGGGACGAAGGGAATAAACATGAGAGTGAATGTGTGCTTCAGATGCTGCAGCACCTGATTGTGGGGCATGGAGAAAAGGAGCCAGAAGGGAGGTGTGGAAAGAGGAAGGGAGGCAAGCAAGAAGGGCCTGGCCACGATATGACATGATTTGATACCACTGCTTCTCCTCCCGATGTTTCTCGCAACAGTGGTAACACCGTATCACGGGTTTAGCCTTATGGCTGTCTTGAAACTCAGACTATCTCATCAATGTTCAACCTCGAACCTCACAATACCTCACGTAGTGTATCAGCTTTGTAAGACACTCACTTTCCAAGCACCTTCAGCACACTTACTTGTCCCCGGGCAGGCGAATGAGTGCAGTTGGTGGCATTGGATTAGCCACAGGGACAGAAAATCTGATATCGGGCAGACCAGAAGCACAAAGAGGAAAAAAACAACAACAAAAGGGAGTGGGTGGGGAAAGAAGACAAAGAAAAAAAATATGGGGGAAGATGGACAGCGGGACGCCCTGTCTTCTCTTAGGATAGGCACATACATGCACATGACATACATGCACATGGCCTGGCAGTCAAACGGCGGGAAACTTGCGTGCGTGCGTGCGTGTGTGTGTGCGCCCTATAGACATGGGATGGCATGGCAGGCAGGCATGAGAGCAACTTCTAAGACAACATATGGCACTGCAACCACGTAATAAGGGCAGGGCAACCACGTGGCAGAGACAAGGGATATGTGACACTTACAAGGCTCCATCCTCTGCAGTAGTTTAGCTAAAAGTCACACACTTATATGTCCCCCTTCCCTGACACTTAGCAGCCTCTGAACGCCATCCTGATGTGTTTCTAACCCACGACTCAGATAAGATTTGCACTTACGGAACTCCTCTGGCCATGCAGCAGAGCTGGCAGTAGTGGTGTTCCGGAGGGGAGTGTGGTGAGGCTGTGACCCTTGACAAATCTGAAGGTCATCATGAGATATTTGTAACCCACACCACACTTACGGATCTCCTCGGGCCATGCGGCAGAGCTCGCAGTAGTGGTGTTCCGGGAGGGGCGGATCAGGCTGGGGCGCTGCTGAGGAATCCCCTGTGAGAGGCGGGTTTTCTGGCAGAATGACGCATTTCACATGCTGCCACACACCACAGCCATGGCCCTCGCACTGGAAACGGCAGGGGGTCGATGGATGAGCGAAAGCAAGAATGCATTGGCAGTAAGAAGGTGTAGGGGGTTTCTCTGGCAAAATCACGCATTTCACATGCTGCCACACGCCACAGCCATGGCCCTCGCACTGGGTGAGGAAGACGGGGGGAATGGGCATGAGGGAATGGGAAGCAAGAGGGGTTAAGGAAGGGGCATGATGAGCGTGAGAAGCAGGTTCTCTGGCAGAATGGCGGATTTCACATGCTGCCACACGCCACAGCCCTAACCCTCGCACTTGGTTAGGAGGAAGGAGGGAAGTGATGTGATATGGTAAGGAGGAAGGGGAGAAATGGGGTGGGGAGAGGGGGAGGGGGTAAAGGGAGGTCAGAGGAGGGTTCTCTGGGAGAATCACACACTTCACATGCTGCCACACAGCACAGCCCTGGCACTCGCACTGGAAGGGTGGGAAGTGGTGGGGGGAAAGGGAAAGGTAAGGGCAAGAGGGGACAGAGGCGTTATAGACACTGAACACACCACCTACCTCCACTTTTGAAATGTTTATATACAGGCGCGTCCCACCACCACAGAACATCCTCAGTCTACCCACCTGGATCATAGTCTTCCTGTTTGTCAAAGTTCCGTAAGCAAACACACCGAATCACCTCCACCTGCACTTGCACCTGCTGCTGCTGCCCGTACACATTCACCCCTTGAAATGTCTCTCTATAACCCCACACTCACGCACCATCCACCCACCTGGATCATGGTCTTCCCGTTGTCAAAGTTCCGTAAGCAAACACACCGAATCACCTCCGCCTGCTGCTGCTGCTGCTGCTGCTGCTGCTGCCCGTACACATCCCCCCTTCCCAACGCCCTCTTACTAGACCTCCCTCCCCCCCCTTGCTCGGTCTTTACTCCCCTCGACGACCCATGCCCGTGCCCATGCCCATGCCCATGCGCATGTCTACTTTGCTGCTGCTGCTGGTGCTGCTGTTGGTTGTGGTGGTGCTGCTGCGGCTGCTGCTGCTGCGGGGAAGCAAAGCCTCCATCAGGAGCCATATTCCCCTCTTCCCCTGCTCTCGCCTCTGCCCTACCAACTGTCTCTACCCTAGCACCTGTGTCTGCCCTCACAGCTGCTTCTGCTCCTCCGTCCCCCCTCTCCACGCCCTCCCCCTCAACCCTATCCGCCCTCTCCTCGCGTCTCCTCTGTGGCTGCACTGGGGAGGCGACTGGTGTGTCCACCTGCTGCCCAGTGCTTCGCAGCGACCTGCAAGGGGTTCCACGGCATGAGCATGGGAGGATGGGGGATGGACGGGGACAGAATGATGGGAGGAACGCAAGGCCTCCACTTTCCCCTCCGCTGCGGCTGCACTGGAAAGGTGACGGGCGTGCCGCCCTGCCCCGTGTTTTGCAGAGACCTGAAAGGGGTTCCAAGGCATGAGCATGTGAGGATGGGGGGAACGGTGTAAAGGGAGGGAAAAAACAAAGCATCTCCTCTCGCTTCCTATGAGACTGCACTGGGGAGACCTGAAGAGTGGCTGCAGAAGGAAGGGAGTAACGAAACAAGGCATCTCCTCTCGCCTCCTTAAGCCTGTACAAACGAATACGAATACGAATACGAATATTTTTCCCGTATATTCTCCGAATACTGGGTGGTTTCTTATTTGACCGAATACTGACCCAAAACCGAATACGAATACGATTCGAATACTGACCCAAAACCGAATACGAATATGATTCGAATACTACCGAATCCAAATCGAAAACGAATAAGTGTCGAGTAATTATTTTGTATAGCCAGTGTCCAACGGCTAATGCATGTTCGACACAGGGTAACCCAATGCATATCAACACCACGACTCAATCCCGCACCATGATCTTTCGCTAACCCCACTCCAGCAACTATCTTGCTAGTGCTTCGCAACAAACTGCAAGGGGATAAGATGGGAATGGCACAAGCATGGGAGGATGGGGGATGGTATGATGGGAGGAACGAAACAACGCCTCCTCTGAGACTTCACTGGGGAGGTGAGATGAGAGGCATATGTCCTTGTGCCTAGTGCTTCCCAATGACCTGCAAGTGGATAAGATGGGAAATGAGAACGGAAGGGGAGTGGGGGTGCATAAGCAGGAGCCGCATCTGTCCACCTCACATGCAACTCTCTCACACGCGCGCCACTCCCTCACTTGCACCCCACTTAAACACACCTCTCTCCCTTCCACGCCAAACCCTTCGACGGGTAAAACTCGACTCGACTCGGTCGAGTTTTTTCAGAGGATTCGCAGACTCGACACTCGACCCGTGTCGAGTCCCCCGATCGAGTCGAGTCGAGAAACTCGACTCAGTGCACATGTCTACCCGCATGCACCTCCCTCCCTCCCCCGCATGCACCTCCCTCCCTCCCCCACATGCACCTCCCTCCCTCCCCGCATGCACCTCCCTCCCTCCCCCGCATGCACCTCCCTCCCTCCCCCGCATGCACCTCCCTCCCTCCCCCGCATGCACCTCCCTCCCTCCCCCGCATGCACCTCCCTCCCTCCCCCGCATGCACCTCCATCCCTCCCCTGCATGCACCTCCCTCCCTCCCCCACATGCACCTCCCTCCCTCCCCCACATGCACCTCCCTCCCTCCCTCCCCCACATGCACCTCCCTCCCTCCCCCACATGCACCTCCTGACATTTAAGTCTCTCACACGCCACTCTACCTGTACGTCTCTCACTCACGCGCACCTCCCGCACATGTACCTCCCGCACACACCACTCTACGCCGCTCTAGCTGTACGTGTCCTGAATGAACGCAGCTACTTGTGTGGGAGTGATGGTGGGCTACTCTCACACTCACTCACGCGCACCTCCCCCTCACACGTACCTCCCGCACACACCACTCTACGCCGCTCTACCTGTATGTGTCCTGAATGAACTCGGCTACTTGCGTGGGAGTGATGGTGGGCACGCCTGCAAGGAGGACACGGACGGGGTACGACAGGAAGGACGGAAGGGGGGAAGGGGAAGGAAGGAAAGATGCGGGGAGGGGATAGACCCGGTGGGATGAGCGGAGGGAGACGGATGCACGTTAGAGCCTCATGATGATGAGCATGGGTCTGGGAGTAGAGGGAGATAAGAGAGGATGATGAGAAAGGAGAGGGGCAGATGAGCGGAAGGAGATAGACTTCATGAGATGACATGTGCGCGATTGGAGGGCCGACCAATAGAAGGAATGCATGAGCCGGCGGCTAGGGCCGGCCACGTGACAGTTTCTTGCAGTGAAAGGCGAGACCAATACACTTGTGTTGAGATAAGGAGATGCAATCATGGCTGTTAAAGAAGGAAACTAACTTGCGTCCGTTGGAAGGAGGAGGTCTTTGAGGCGCCTCTGAAGTCGTTCACTGGAGGAGCACTTACGGCCGTTGAAGGGGACAGATGGTGATGATAAGAGCGCTTCGATTCGACCCACTAGCACCTGTTCCCCGTGCCATGTGTTGTGGGGCATGTGGGGCATGTCGTGGGGCATGTGGGGCATATCGTGAGCCATCCGAGGCATGTGAGGCATGTGAGGCATGTGGGGCATGTGAGGCATGTGAGGCATGTGGGGCATGCGAGGCATGGGAGGCATGTGAGGCATGTGATGCATGTGCGGCATGTGAGGCATGTGATGGATGTGGGGCATGCGAGGCATGTAAGGCATGTGAGGCATGTTGTGAGGCATGTTAGGTATGTGAGGCATGTGCGGCATGTGCGGCATGTGAGGCATGTGAGACATGCTTCTGAAACGCAGCTACTGATTCTGAGGACGGTGCTACTGAAAGGCTTGTTGCAGTGCACCCTGCAGCACCCTTCAGGTTCAGGTCGCCAAGCACTGCCAGAAGGTGAATCATGTCAGCCAGCCACAGCACAGCACAGCACAGCACAGCACAGCACAGCACAGCCAGGACCGAATGCTGCAAAACGCAAAACGCATACAAAACGCATCCTTCTCGTGCTTCTTACAATGCTGTGCTGCTTGCTTGCTGCCTTTTGATCCACTAGCAGGTCACACTGCAAGAAGGTGAGTTATGTCAGGACCCAACAGCATTCCCGCAGCAGCCACTGCCTACTCAAGTTTCTTCTTACACTGCTGTGCTGCTTACCGCCTTAGCAGGTCACACTGCAAGAAGGTGAGTTATGTCAGGACCATACAACACTCCCCTAAGCAGACTGACTAGTCAACTTTTCTCCTTACACTGCTGCTGATGTCACTGCAGCCACTGATGTCACTGCTGTGTCTGATGTCACTGCTGTGTCTGATGTTACTGCTGTTACTGCTGTCACTGCTGTCACTGCAGCCAATGCTGCCACCTTGAGCCCAACACCAGTCACTGCCAGGAGGTGTTTTAAGTCAGGAAGCGACAGCACATCCCCGTACATGCATAGCAGACCATACACCGCCTTCGACTTCCTTCCCATCCCCTCCCTAACCGGCAGCTGTTGCTGCTCAAACTGCCCGCTTTGACTGCACTAAGACCTCAACTATTCGCGCTATAGACATCCACTATCCGCGCTATAGAGCTGCCAGTGTGCGCGCAACTGACCTGCTTTTTGCCGGATTTTGAGAGACCTAGATGACCCAACACGTCTTTAAGCTCCTTCAGTCGGAAACACAAGAGCTGCGACTGCAGAGAGGGATGAGGGAGAAAGCAATTTGTGGTGAGGTGAGGAGAGGGAGAGAGTTGGTAAAGTCTATTGTGGCCTTAAGGCGCCTCAATAAACAGGCCTAGATGGCCCAACACGTCTTTGATCTCCTGCAGTCGGGTACAGGGGCGAGCTGCGACTGCAGGGAGGGATGAGGGAGGGAGAGTTGGGGCGAGGGAAATGAGAATGAAGCCACGATGCTACCACGGTCACTATGCTACCATCATGATGCTACAGCCATGATGCCATGATGCTACCATCATGATGCTACAGCCACGATGCCATGATGCTGTAGCCACGACGCGACAGCCATTGCGACCAGACCATGCTCCTTCGACATCGATGCGATTCCGCGAGAATGCACAAGAAGCACGAAGCGCGTACGAGAAATTCGTGGATATCTTATCACTCAAAGGTTACCACCAGCCAAGTTTTGCAAATCGTGCTGCTTACAGCGGAGCATAGAGACGGAACATATGTCACGCGCAAAAAGCACGACGCTTTAAAAAAACAAATAAGCCGGACGCGCACCAGACGCCATTAATACAAACGAGCCGGGTTCACGCGAAGGCATCACACAGCCGGTTTTGCAAATAATGGAACAATCTAGCCGCTTCGCTCTACTGTATTGCTGGTAATCATGAGTCTTTGTATGACCAGCCAAGAAACCTCACACTGCATCACCAGTCGTCATAGCCATCTGCTGGATCGCGTACCCCAGCTGACGTCATCACGTACCCTAGCTTGCGTCATCAGATCGTCCATGGGCCTCGCAGCGATCAGCGCTGGCATCAGCAGCGCGTACGCGTCGATCCGACGGCTGATGTGAAAGAATCAGACGGTTCTCGTGGCTGCATTAAAACAGCTCCAGTAAGAAGGCAATCCTATTGATACAGCAAGCGAAACCTAACAAGCTTCGTCGGATCGCCGGAAAAAAACAACGACGGACGGCACGACGCCACGACTTTCGTCTGCAACAAACCCTAAAGCGCCTCGATCCCTTGACCGCTACAACGAACTCTCCTAAACAGCGAGCAGACGTCACCCACAGCGACGCGAGATATTAAGGAACATCTCAACACAACGAAATTGGGCGCGTGACGCAGGAGGGGGTCCAAGTTACGTAGCTGCGATCCGTGGCAGCATTACTGTAGCTGCCTAATAGTCTTGTATCTAGTATCTGTGCTTGAAGCAGCAACAAGGACAAGTACACCTAGCCAGCCCTCCTAACTACCAGGGAAAAGCAGTGCACCGTTGTGTGTTGTGTTGCGTCCGCGGCAACCCCTGTGTGGTGCACCGTTCCCGCCATTTGAGCAGATAGGTGACGACGACGAGGGTGGCTGTACGCCTGCCTTACGAAACCATTGGCCCGGAGAATAGAGCTTGAGATAAAGAATGTACACCTTACATTCATCCTACTTTCAGATGTAGTACTGTATACATTTGCAATTCGGTAGAGAATCATGAACTTGTGCCTTTCTCATGCTAACTCCCTCCCCACCTATTTCCAGCAACAAAAATACAATTAGCATTACTATACTATCCAATATTTGTTCTGTTTTTTTATATGAATTTTGTAGCTCTAGCTACCACATGCCCTCACGTCTCCCCTTTAAAGACCCCCACCTAGCGACTCCTGTCGTGGCCCCACTTATCGAGCCCCCCTTTAGTGGCCTCCGTCATGCCCCCCTCCCCCCTCTTAGCGGCCTCGTCACGGTCACGTCGTCGCTCGCCACTCTCCCTCCCTCGTCTGCGACGATGTGTTCCCCCTTGCGCTGAGGGCAGGCAACGTGCCGCCCCTCACTCATTGCTTCCTCCTACCACTGCGCCTCTTCAGACCTTGCACATGGACGTCTGGTACCATGCCCCCATCCCTCGGCCACATCGGAAACGGTCCTCCCTAGTCATTCTAGACAACTACTCCCCTGTCAAATGTTATTATAGGTTCTTAGGCAACACTGAGTAGCACTCTAGAGAGTACAACACTTTTAGGGTTGCTATTTGTATCCCTTGTTTCCCTAGTTCACATATTCCGTTGTGTTCCTACTTTGAGATGGTATCAGAGCTAGCGTCTTGGAGATCCACATGCACGTACGTCGACGCAGTTCCCCCTCCCAGGGCGAACATTGTCGATGGCATGTGGCTCTTCAAGGTGAAGCGGCCGCCTGGTTCACCGCCTGTGTTCAAGGCGAGCTACGTGGCTAGGGGTTTCAGTCAGCGTGAGGGAGTTGACTTCTTCCAGACCTTCGCCCCGACCCCGAAGATGACTACTCTTCGGGTTTTACTGCACGTAGCTGCACAGCGAGACTACGAGCTGCACTCCCTTGACAACACGAGAAAATCTGGCTGCGCCGTCCTCCTGGCTGCGCCGTCCTCCTGGCTTCACTGACATTTTCCCACCTGGGACCCAGTGGAGCCTGAGGCGGCCAGTCTACGGTCTTCGCCAGTCGCCCCGTGAGTGGCACGACACTCTTCGCTCCACGCTTCATAACCTTAGGCTTCGTCCTTCCTCTACCGACCCGTCGTTGTTTGTTCGTACGGGTTCCACTCCTTTCTTTATACTAGTGTACGTCAACGATTTGGTCTTTGTTACAGCAGACAGGGCAGCTCTGACTGAGGTGAAATCTGAACTGCAGAAGAGACACAAGTGCATTGACCTCGGTGAACTGCAGCGCTACCTTGGCCTGCAGATCATCAGGGACAAAGCCGCTCGCACCATCACACTGACTCAGTCACACATGGTGCACCGAGTCCTTCGACGGTTTGGGTTTCAGTTCTCCACCACACAGCCCACTCCTCTTGCCGTTGACCACCGACTCACTGGCCCTTTTTCTGACGAGCCCTTTGAGTCTAGTTGCCCCTACGCAGAGCTTGTGGGCTTCCTCATGTATTTGATGACTTGTACTCGACCGGACCTCGCCTTTCCCCTCAGCGTCCCCTCTCGCTTTGTTGCGACTGGGAGACACCGTCTTGTCCACTGGACAGCTGCTGTGAGGGTGGCGAAGTACCTGGCGACAACATCAGGCATGGGACTTGTGCTTGGAGGGACACAGTTAGTTGTGTTGACCGGTCACTCCGACTCTTCCTACGCTGACGATGTGGAGACTCAGCGCTCGACTCAGGGTTACTGTTTCATTCTGGGTGCTGGTGCTGTGTCGTGGAGGTCTACACGGTCGTCGTCTGTGGCTTTGTCTAGTGCAGAGGCCGAGATCTATGCTGGTGCCATGGCGGCACAGGAGCTTCGCTGGTTGACCTTCTTGCTCACCAACCTTTGTGAGCGGCCTCGCTCTGCACCGACCTTGTACGCTGACAACAAGACCATGATCCTCCTGTCTCGAGAGCCTCGACTGGAGAGCAGAGTTAAGCATATTGACGTGAGGTGATTCCTCCTACGAGAGTTGCAGCGACGCGGCCAGGCACGCTTGGACTTTGTGGCCTCAGAGGCCAACATTGCCGACGTCTTCACCAAGACCTTGGCGTCTGGTGACCACGACAGGTTCTGTGTGCAGTTAGGGCTTGTTGAGGTAGGCCCTCGGTTGCTGTAGACTTGCTATTTGCTCTGCTTGTTGTGTTTTGCTATATATATCCTAGTGAACTCTAGAACTAGCCTTGTGGCCGCTTGCTTGTGCTCGAAATTTGTGTGGTGTCCTTGAGATCCACCCTGAGCTTCCTTTGCTTCTTGCGTCGACTGGTCTTGTGGCCGTTTGTTCACCCTGCTTGCTTTGATGCCCTTCACTTAGCCTATGGGGGTGTGTCAAATGTTATTATAGGTTCTTAGGCTATAGTGAGTAGCACTTTAGGGAGTACAACACGGGTTGCTATTTGTATCCCTTGTTTCCCTAGTTCACATATTCTGTTGTGTTCCTACTTTGAGATCCCCCTATACCACGATATTTCCCTTATTGGGAAAGGCCGACGTTCTCCTCCCATGGAAAATGACCATTCACACCTAGCGCACCCAGTCTGTGCTTCGTTTGTACCCCGACCGTGGTGGCTAGTTCACCTTTGGTTGTATTGGCTAGTTCTGTCGTGCGAAGGGCATCAACCAAACGTATTCGCTCCCGGACCCGCTATAGCTAAACGGGGTAGCTGAACGTCGCATTGGCTTAGTCATGAAGTTCGATTGTACCTCCATGGTTCATGCCAATGGCCCCCATTTTCAATTTCCGTTAGCAATTTTCTACGCCACACACCAGCTTAACATGTGGCCCTATGTCTCACGGCCATAGGTTTTGCCGACTCTTCTTTGAACTAGGCCCCATGATGCTGAACATGCATTTCGCATCTGGGGCTGTCCTGCTTACGTCCGAGATTTCCGCGCTGACAAGCTCTCAGCCCGCACACTCCCGTGTGTCTTCCTTGTTTTCCCCCTAGACGCCCATGACTGTCTAGTCTACCACCTTTCATCTGACCATTTCCTTGTAACGTCACATTTGATGAGTCTGTATTCTTTTGCACTCGCTTCCCTCGCCGAGGTACCCCAACTCCCCCCCTCCCCTCTTTCTCGCTCCCACTCCTCCCACTCGTCCTACTCCTCCGCTAGCTTACCTGCCCCCACGTCATGCCCTGTTTGGTGTGTTGCACGTTGCCCCCCTTCCCTTTGTTGGGCAAGTGGGGGAGTCTGCTGAATCTCGAGGCCCGGTACAGGTGGGTACGCCTCCTGTAGTGTGAGAGTACGATGGCTTATGTTGGCTTTGCTAGCTTGCCTGGACTTTATTACGCGTTATCTAGCTTAGCTTCATTTTGCATTGCATGATTTTGCTTGATTTCCTAGGTTTGTTGCTTTTATTATAGTTATTATAGTTATAGGCACCGAACTAGGTTGAGTGCACCGAGTTCTAGGCTTTTCGGTTGCCACCAAATTGTCTTCTACCGAAGTCAGGAAGGACCCATTCGGGACGCTTCGCGACTCGCGAAACCTTGTAATAACACCCGGGTTACTGCCTTTGTGTCGAGCCTATATATAGCCTCGCCTTGTACC